TCTGTATGCCAGTCTGCTTGAGAACAAAGTGTATTAACTAAAAGTGTCAGGAGCAGGATTTCCCACGAGCCTGCAATTTTTTGGTGGCGAGAGCTTAGATATTAGTAAGTGCATGTGTTGTGTCATTTTCACGAGTGCTACCTTGTGTCTGCAAATTTGGGGAAACTTTTGGGGTTCTTACAACAATCTGCCAACGTGCTGGCTGTTTTCTAAGGATGAACGATGGATAATAATACCTCACACATTTTCATCCCCCATTGTCCCCGTACTACCTCGGTACCCCACACCCACCATCCACGACAGAGATAGTAAATATAAGCTAATAAAGTAATCAAATGAGAGTAGTAAACTGAAAAACAGAGGATAGCACTGTAGGAAACAGGGGGCAGGCTGGCAAGAAGTAAATGACTAAAACAGAGCGTTGGATGCATATCTAATAACTTTAATGGGTTTATTTATAAAATAATAATCCTTGCAAATACGTACAGCCTCTGGATGGCTCAGAGGAGTATAGGAATTTCCAAGGATACTCCTTTTAAAAATTAATATTATTGGTATTTTTTTATATAGCGTTGGCAATTTACACAGCACTTTACATTCACATCAGTCCCTGCCCTTAATGAGTTTACATCAAGTCTGATTACTATTAACCACTTCAGGGCCGCCGTACAGATATATATGTTGTCACCCTGAAGTGGTTATACCAAGATCATATGCTGTTGTAGCTGTATTGTTTATTTCAGCAGGAAAAGCTTGTCAAGTACAGGCCACTTGTACCCACCTGCAATTGTGAGGCTGCCCCTGCCATCTGTGCATGAGCAGTAAAGGCTTTTAAAGTTCCTACTTTAAAAGCCTTTACTGCTCATGCACAGATGGCAGGGATGAGGCCAAGTTTGGAAAGAACCCAAGCTCATCCAAACCCAGAAGGAAGCTGACAGTGCTGACCCATTCAGCTGTGGCCAGGACATTCCCTGCCTTGTAACTGCAGGTACCCAAACAGGTGTAATTCTTGTGACATCAGTGACCTTATATATATATGGCCATATTACATTGTTTTTATATGGCCACATTAGGTCATTGTCATTAACCAAATATTACCATTGTTGTATATAAGGTCAATGTTGTCACCACTATCCCACTACTTTGCTTTTGTGCAGCTGCAAAGCAAAGGATTTCTCGGCCACAGCTGATTTTGCCTATCAGCTTTCTTTCGGTTTCGGATGAGCTTGGTTTTGGTCAAAACCTGACCTTATCCCAACTCAGTTTAAGAAAAATTTCCTTTTGTTTATTTTTTGGCAAAGTCTACCAACATACATGTCCATGCCTCTGGAACCGGTTGGTTGAACAACTTTAAACTCCCATCCTGTTCATGGGATCTAAACATATATTGGTCTAAATGTTTAAAGGGTGTAGTATTTGCCATACTGAGTGGTTGGATGCTGTGTAGACATCAGGGAGAAGTGAGGCGGTTAATAGGAATGGCCAGAGAAGCTACCCAAAAGGCTAGGGGAACCCAAGTAAGGGGGCTGTCTAATGGCCAGGAAAGAACTGTATTCCCTCTACTGGAGCAATTGGACCACATTTTTCTTCTTTGTTTTGATTAGGGAAGAGCCATATGCACCTGGGTTCTGTTCAGGGCAGGTACAGCAAACTTTACTCAAAGTGACACTAAATGCTCCTTGTTAAATTAATGTCACAAGCCATCATAATGTACTATACTGATTAAAAGTCTTTAAATGTGACAAAAACATACTGTATTTCTACATAATAAATGTTGTTTTCTGCACACCCCCGATGGAAAATCATTTCCCATCAATGCCTGTCTGTGGAAGCAAGCAGTACATGTCAGTTGTGGTCAGATGCACCACTTTGAAGAATCTATAATTCTCAGATGTCTTTGTGCCAGCCGCATGATCTGTGCCTGTGTACTTCAGGCTGGTCCGCCGCAGCCGTGCTTTGTGGGTGGAGATTTTTTGAATGGCAATTTTTTATGTCCTGCTGCTGGGTGTCAGCACATATTGCTTTAGCCTATGTTGGGAGATAGCAGAGGAGAGGGCAACATTATCACCCACATAAAGGAAGTGACAGTTGTACAGTTTTAAAATGATGTTTATGGATGTTCTGTCTGAAGCTGCCATTAGAAAGGTCACAGCTAGCTACATTTAAAGTAGGGCTGGTAATGATTAAAATTTTCCTGTTCGATTAATCAAAATTGTTTTAAATCGATGAATCGATTAATTTCGATTAATTATAACGCACATACAGATCCAACTACATTGGCCTATACACATACAGCACAGCAATGAAGTAATAAAATTAACTTGGATCACACTAATCCAGCACGTTATTATTCTCACGTGCCCCACTCAATATGGCCGCCGATTGAGTGGGGCAACTCAGAATAATAACGTGCTGGATTAGTGTGATCCTAGTTCATTTAATTACTTAATTAATTGCTGTGCTGTATGTGTATAGGTCAATGCCAGGGATCCCAACCTGAAATAAGCAATTTCAGGGAGGTGTCCCTCTGTTTCAGGGAGGTGCCCTCTCCCCCCCCATCCACGGAGGGGGGTTAGGGGGAGCTGGGAGAGAGCACTCCCCTGAAATGATGGCAGATAGCACAGGAAGCATATTAACGAAGGAAAGGGGGAGGGGTCCAGTGACGTCACGGACATCGACGGATTAGCCGACAGAGCCACTTGTGGAAGGGGGGAGGAGTCCGGTGACATCGCGGACATCAACGGAAGACCCGGAAGCCGGCGGAGAGGTGAGTATGGATCAAAAGAACTTTGATCGATCAAAATAATTTTGATCGATCAAAAAAATTAACGATTAATCGAAGGATTAATCGTTAATTTCCGCAGCCCTAATTTAAAGGTACTGTTTTTTTTAATATAGGTCTAGTGTCACTTTAGGTTCAGGTGACAAATCTCATAAATCATTAATGGACATTTTGTAGGCTAATAGACAAGGGATTGACAAACAACAGGCACAGGGAGCTGAGAAGACACAGGACATTTATCAAAGCAAAAAAAGTTTTAAAAATTCCATTTGGCTTGAAGCAGTGATTTTAATAATGCTTAAATACCAACATTAAAATGCACAATTTCTTTAAATAACATGTGTTGGGGGATGCCCTGAACGTACCTCTGAAGTGGAACATCTGTACACAGTGTGCAACGTACTACAACACAACTGACACTTACTAGGAAAAAAATGTAATTAAATTTGGAGCAAATGACAGCTCCCAGACACTGAACTTTGTGAACAAAGTTTCTGGAAATTCCCTTCATTTTTAGCAGATCCTTATTCCACCCCCTCAAAACAAAAATTAATGGGCCCCTCCCAAAATGCATACCCGGCCCTTCATGTCTGGTATGGTTCTTAAGGGAGGACTCCATGCAAAAACAACATTGGTACTAATCACAATCTGGAAGCTTTTCTAGATGCTGACCCCACTCCCACATACATACATACATACATACATACATACATACATAGTACCCCAAATTATTCACAAATAAAATAAAAGTCCTTTACTTAAAAATAAAAAATCCAAAAGAAAGTTCCAAGCTACACATTCATTGTCAATCACTTCATCCAGTGATGCAGATCCTTGTGAATCACAATGCTCAGCAAAAAAAAAACCCACCAAGCTGCCCAACCAATGGCCACTCACTTAATGGCAGGCTCCCATAGCTGTCTTTTGTAATATAAGCAAAGAAGTATTGGTGACATCATTGACTAAATATGGTCATACCCTTATTTGGGCAATCCCCATTATCCCTGCCGCTTTACTTACATGGGCAGGGATTCCAAGCCATGTAAGTGAATGAGCCAGGTGATTTCACTGATTGTTGAGGGCATGGCAGATGCAGGCCCTTGCTGCCTCACTAGCAACTATTGACAGGAGGAAGCTGTTATAAATAATTACAGCACAAATGTCACTATTTTACATGATGTTTGGCTGCTAATGAATCTAGTTAATGTTTGGCATGAAAATAAATGCCCTAACCAGCACAATTGGTCCGAACCTGTTTTTGAAATTAAATTTGAGCTCTCCCCTACTCTGGATTAACTGTGTGTTATCAGAGTTATCAGAATGCAGTTTTTGGTTTTTTTATTTAAGCTTGATGAAATGTGTCTTTTTTTTCAACCTACTGTTTAACTATGTAAAAACCCAACAAAGGTGCTAATCTTTCCCTATTATTTTGAAAACAAACAAAAAGGTTTTGTCTGGAGTTGGCCAGTAATTCTGGGCATGTTGAAAATTGTTAACTTAAGTCGCTGATCAAAACCATTAATACCTCTGAGGTCAAATTTAGCAGCATGTTTCTTTACATATAGAAGGACATATAAAGTTTTTATTTAGTACAGTTTTTAAAAAACTGCCCTGTTTTTTTAAATTACTTAATTTATTATGTTTAATAGTTCAACTGCATCTGACCATTGATGAACACTGCAGCATGAGGGTGGCAGTGTACATCTGAAGTCTTTCATTTTTGTCAGTGAAGCCTCCGGCCTGCAGGAGATCATTATGACAGAGCCGACACAGTGATCACACATGAAGAATCACCCTGATTGGTTCCTGATTGTCAGTGGGGGCCCTGGATTCCATTAACAACCGAATTGCAAGCTACCAGTCCCACAAATGTCCTCGGCATGAGGTATTGTGCCATGGAACATAAAATATGCAGATTGTGGACAGGAAGGGGTTGAAGAAAAATATCAGTATCTCATGTCTAGGAACTGTAGCCTAAGAGCTGTGGTTGGAGGCTGAAATAAAGTATGTATTGCAGTGCACACTTTACTACACTTAATTTACAAGGTTTATCTGTGCACCCTACAACTAACAGATAGGTAATAGATTGTGCTACACTACTGCACTGAAAGTATAAATGATCAATGTTTGAATGTTCAAAATCATATTTTTTGTAATTAAAAAAAATGCTTATTTATAGAAACTAACAAACAATCATTTATTTGGTTTTCTTTTGTAGGCTGGGATTAGGAAACAACAAAATCAAAGATGTAGAAAATGGAAGTTTTGCCAGTATTCCAAACATAAGAGAGATACACTTACAAAACAATAAGCTGAAGAGGGTTCCTCCAGGAATACCAGATTTAAAATATCTACAGGTGGGTATATAACTTTTTATTTAATATAATAAAAATTAAACTTGTTCACACTGGAAGTGAGGCGATTGAGAGGAGACATGATGTTGATATACAAAATGTTTAGTGGAGATGGGAACAACAGCAATAATTGTTTTTACTATAAACTCCCTAAAAAAGACCAGAGGCGACCACCTAAAATTGGTGGAGAAAAGATTTAACCACAAAGGGAGTAGGGGCTTCTTTTCAGTTAGAGCGGTTACATTGCATGTTTTTGTGCGTGCGTGTCCCTTTGTGGTCTAGTATTTAAGAGTACCTGTACCTTTTTATGTTATGGACTCTGAAGAAGGTATCTAAATTATTTGTGAATGATTCAATATTCTTGCTGATACCACTGCTTGTGGAAATCTTTTCCACAAGCAGTGGTATCAGCAAGAATATTGAATCATTCAAAAATAATTTAGATACCTTCCTCAGAGTCCATAACATACAGAGGTACAGGTACTCTTAAATACTAGACCACACAGGGACTCGCACGCACAAAAACATGCCCACACACACAAAGGTTGAACCTGATGGACTTCTGTCTTTACTCAACCTCAAATACTATGTAACTATGTAAAACAAATTAATTCTACACACAATTCATGACTTGTTGAACAGCATTCCACAAGGGATTGAAGCTGTTATAAGGGTAAACAGGGCCTTCATATTAAAGGATTTTCAAGTTAACCCTTGCAGTGTGGGGGTAGCCTTGTTTTGTTCTAGGGAATGGAATAAGGAAGATAAACTCACCTGATCTTCAGTCCTGCAGTGGTGAGTGCTCATCTCTATCACCCTCCACTCTGGCTGTGGTATGTCCTTTGGCATCTTCACATCTACTAGACCTGTTAAAAGTGGTGACGTAACAGGTCCTCAGGCTGCCGGAGTCTGGGGTAGAAGAGGCTGTGGGGACTAGTCTAGAAGCCAGGTGGGATTGAAAATCAGCTAAGTATATTTTCTTTTTTTGTGACTCTAGGCCAAAACGGGCAGTTAACCCATGCAGCGCAGGTCAGTCTACTGAAAGGGTTAACTTTTGGAAATCCTGGAGTTCCTCTTTATTAAGTACTATGCTGAAAAAGCATTGCACAATACTCTACACTGAGTGGCCAGATTATTATGACCACCTGACGTTTGTAGGCAAATTAGCTATAATTAGCTATAATTTTGTGCTGAAGTTGCTAGAGGGCCAGACCATTATAAATAGGGAAGCATGTTGTTTACCACGACAGTAGAAGTGATTTTTTCTGAAGATATGGGTAAACAACGCAATTTAACAGCATTTGAACGTGGGATGATTGTTGGCGCGAGCCATGGAGCGAGTATCAGCAAAACAGCAGAATTCGTTAAATGTTCAAGAGTGGCTCATAGTTAAAGTGTTTAAAGACTGGACTGTCAGCCGAAAATCTGGGTCTGAACGTGCGAATTGTGGCCGTCAGCGACTAGTCAATGTTAGGGCAGAACGGACAGTGGCAAGACTGGTACAAGACAACAGAAGGGCAACAGTGCAGTGTCAGATTGCTCGCATCACCTTTCAACATCTCGTGGAGTCACGAGGCAGCCCAACGAAGCCATCTCGTGGAGTCATCTCGTGGCCCAACGAAGAACTGATGGGGTGGTCATACTAATCTGGCCATTCAGTGTATATTTCTTAAATATTTCTCATTGCAAGGCTATGACACTAACATATAAACATTTTTTTTTCAATATACATTTCAGGTCTTATTTCTTCACTCAAACAGCATTGCAAAAGTGGAAGTGAATGATGTCTGCCCCCCGCCACCCAAGCTAAAGAAGTCTCTGTATAGTGGTATTAGCCTTTTCAGAAACCCTGTGAAATACTGGGAAGTACAACCTGCCACATTTCGCTGCACTTTGGGCAGGAATAGTGTGCAATTTGGAAACTTCCGAAAATAAAAGCACATTGTGCGGTCATTACAGCCCTAGTGAATAGAAACAGCAATCTATTTTGGACTTGAGCAATTTCTAAACTATGGAAAGACTGTGCAACATTTCTGTATTCTCAGATATAATGCTTGATGAAAATAGAGTGTTTACAGAGTAATTGCATGGCATATTTTTTACATAATAATCAAACACTTGATACTTGGTTAAATAAAATGAAAGTTGTAGCTCCAAAGAGATATGTGTCTCAGGCAAATTCAGCAGGTGTTCATACTTGGTGCTAAGACAAATCATAAAACTCCTACAATACTTTTTGTTAATGCTTATTTTCCATTGATGTGTTCTAATCTGTGACTCTTAAACCTTGTGTCACTGTAGGACATTTCCTGAGTAACACTGATTTATGCAGAAAAACAAATAACTGATAATTTGTAAAGCTATGTAAACTATATTTTGTATTATATAATATACAGTATAATGTTCAGAAGTCTTTAAATATCTCCCAGGGCAACACTTGAAATGGCCTCTTCCTGTCTTGCAATGAGGGTACTTTTTCTGGTTCTATATACCTGTAAAGACAAGCTATTTTTGTTGGATTTCCTTGATTGTCTGCCTTTGGGATAAATAAAGACTGTTCTTGTTTGAGTGAAAAATGGATTTAAGACGTACGATCCCTGTACGCTTACCATTGTGCTATGTCTCCCAAATATCACACCATATTGGATGATGACAATGCTCTCATACACACTGTTAAACAATTTCAAGACATTTATTTCAAGGTTTTATAAACAAACGCTGTCCATTTCTTCAACTTCCACTTTACATTTATTTCACTCTGACCAATCACTGGGAGGTTTATTGCCAGTGATGTGGGCTGGTAAAGGAGATAAATATTTGGTGAGAGCTTCTAGAAGGGTCTTTTGCCTCCTAGGCTTTGCTTGTAGAAGATACAATTAAAGAGAGGTTCCTTTGCCTCCAAGGCCTGCTGCCTGGGGAAGGCACATTTTCCTTCCCCAGGCACGAGGCCTTGGAGGTAAGTATTATCAATTAACTTATCCTATTTGCTCTTTTGGCAGTTAGCCATCTCTGTAAACTGCAAAACACCTCCCTCTATATTGTACAACAGAGGAGAGAGCAGGTTTTCTATAGTGCTGCCCTAGGGTGGCAGTTCTACTCCACCATAGATTCAGTGCAGTGAGTGAGCATTGTCACCCTAGGAAAAGAAGTGTGTTACTGATAGGATTATCATGTGAAAATAAAGAGAAAAGAAGGCCTGAAAAACAAATGCAGCCACCAGATCTAAGGGCTGGTAAGCTGTGGTATATTTTCTTCTTGGGTTTAGATACACTTTAACTGCAATAGAGACTTGCTACATTTATTGTCACTGTTAGTAAGAACAATATTAACAACAATATGCACCTACACTTTTGAAAAACATTTTCTTGAACTATACAGGCACAAAAAATGCAGAAACATTAAAGTATTGTAGATGACACCCAATCACTAAAATATCTTGGGCATTTAATTAAATTTGTCACTAAATTTTGGGGTTTAATAAGGAGTTGCGCTAATATTGCACAACATAAAAATTTTCAACTACCACCATTTTATTCTATAGGGTCTTGGCATTCAGAAAATATATAATGTTGGGGGGTTTTACGTCATTTTCAGGCCTAAAATGTGGAATATAACATGGGTGCAAAAATTGAAAAAAGGGCCTCAGTCATGAAGGGGTTAACATGTTATTTTACAAGGAAGATCCTTTTTTTTTTAAATATAAAGTTCTCATCATATCTGCTGATCCTATCACAAATGATCTTTGTTAAAGCAATTCCTGTTATAAGGTGACAACACACTGTCTCCCAGTTGCCTTTCTTTTTTGTAATCTTTTCACATGAACTTCCAAATGGAGACTATAGGCAGATGTACCAGCACTTAACAGGCAGGCATGTGTTGTCACCAGCAAACCCGCCCTGAGCAGTGACATGCAACTGCCACTAAGCTACCCCTAAACTGTCTAGTATGTAATTTCTGGCCACAGTAAATGGTGTGTTGCTATTTTAGGTACCTTAAGCTTGGTGTCAAGATATTTTGTTTGTTGGAAAGTGAAATTATGAGAGCATGAGAAAATGAATAAACCCAAAAATTGAATGCATCTGGAAGAGTAATTCTGAATAATCATTTGTTAGAACTTAACAGTTATTGTATCCTTAACTCAACCCTTAACCTGAGCATACTCCTTAATGTAACCTAATTACTAAATCAAGCACAGCAATGAAGATAATATGTAGTTAGATACCTGCTGCCACAATGAATGCTGGCTTCAAGCCTCATTTAGCAGTATGCACCGTGGCTCCCAGGCCCTGCTACACCTTTTCAAAGCTTAAGCAAACTGGTCGATGATACACTCTTGCGTGAATCAAGAGGAATATTTAACAAGTAAAACGCACATCATATACAGGTATCAAAGATAACTTCAACACAATTTGCACAATAAGTGCATATTCAAAAGGCTTACATGATTTCAGCTTCCCCATGGTTAAAGCATATCTAACCCAAAAAGCAAACATTTTAATTGATTGCAGCTTACCAGTCCTTAATGGAGGTGTCTGCATTTGTTTTCTTTTTTTTTCCAGGGCTGGGTTCCAGGTAATCAGGCTTTATGCATCTGGTAACCCTGTGAATAACACAATTCCTCCCCCAAGATGGCAATACTCTTCTACTATATCTTTGGAGGGAGCCATAGTTGACAACCAGGCTGGACTTCAAGCATGTCTACCTTTGCTCATCTTCATTACATGGGGGTGATGGGATTAGTAGGTTACACAAGAAAAATAATATTTTTTCTTCCAGTTTATTTCACAAGAAGTGACCACTTTGGAAGAGGATGTATTTTCTGTACATGCTAAAAATGTTCTTAGCATAAAAAAATAAAAAATAGTGCAGCCACCACACAATTTGTATTCATGTAAATTGTCATCATGAATCTGTTTGCTTGATGTGGAATGGAGAATATCATAATAAACATAATGGTATTATTAAACTAATATCAACTGATATGTTTTTTTCTGAGATCCAAAAATTAATTCCCTAAGTTCCACCCTGAAAACAGTGTGGCCAAATTGCCATTCTGAGTACTGAACAGTAAACCATAAATGTGTAGAGAGATGTCACTTCTCCAAACCTGTGTAAAAATTCAACACCTCCAAATCCACCACCAATTCCTAATGCTGACCAAAGAGAATCCAACCATGCTTCTCTGTGATAAAGCCCGTATTGGGTGGATCATTAGAAAGGAGTGGTCTTAGATGTGCAAAGTGCGGGTTTAATAAAGTTGGATGTGATCTGACGTCATTGGTGTGCGACTTCCACCCTTCCTAGTACACCATAAATAGTCACACAGCATTACAAACATTTAAAAAATTTCAATGTATAGCTTTGTTGAATTCTATATGCTTTAATTAAAAAAAAAAAAGAAAAATTGGGTTCACATATCTGGTTACTGTTATCTGGTTATCTGTTCTGTCTGAGCATTTTAAATGAATATATTGTCTTTTAATAATAAAAGGGTTTTAAAAACCACTATTGGCTTTTTCTGGTTTGTATTATTACGTAAAATAATGGTATTTGTTAGGATAAAGGGTCATCCTGCAATGTAGGAAAAATATCACCTCCATTTGTGTGTGTATATGTGTAAGAAATATAATTTAAAGATCATTTCTAGTCCCTGAAAAGGGGGCAATGAAGGGCAAAACCAATTCCTACATTCCTTCCTCCTAGCAATCTTCTGTATACTATACACTGAGATGTGTATGAACAGGGATCTTAGTTCTGATTTTAACTGCTAGCACTTAAAGTGATATTAAAGTCAAAAACATTTTACGCTATTGGAAATGCTGATTAAATTATTTACAATGGATGCTGCTCCTTCATGTTTAAAGGTTTTAGTTTCCTGCAGAATGAGCACTGGTCCTGACTTCCTGTTTTAGAGTGACTCCTTTCGCAAGCAGAGTGCCATGAAGTCACCTTTGTGTGTGCTAGTAAGCTGTGTGTGTCTCCACAAACACATAGACACAGCAAATCAAGCTACCACCCCCCTCTCCATGCTAGTAGATGAACAGTTGCTGGAGATTGATCTATCCCTTGTAATCTTATACTGGACAGGAAGTTCAATGAAGCTGAGCTGAGAGACTTGGAAGCAGCTGTTCAGGAACATGATGATTGTAAGTGTTTGGGCAAAAATGTAAAGCAATGCATTTTTGTTCAAAATGGCTGTGAAGATGTAGGTAGTCGTTTTTGAGATTTTGTTTTAGTATTTTGGACTGGGAGAAATACACAAAGACAGTGTAACTTTTTAGAGTGGAGGCTTCCCTCACCAGAGAAGAGCACTTGCAGGGCTTATGAATCCTCTGGCATTAACGAATATCAGCTTAATGGTCGTGCTGTAAACCAGCTTGGTGTTGCCAGAGTGGTTTAAAAGCAATATTGAGTACCTCATTTTCCTGATAGGAAAAAGCTGCTCGAGAGAATGTCCTATTTAGAGCAGATGTCCAAACAGCAGGGTATGGTGATGTAGCACATTCAGGCTGTTCGTGATTGGCTTAAACAGAAACTCATACAGGTAACCACAACAGATAAAAAACAGCTCAAGGAAAACTCAAACACAAAATGAGACAGCTGAGAAGTTGGAATAATAAAATGAATTGTCAGCTGTATCATCAGTAAAGTATAGGCAGAGTTGGAAAATAGTTTGTGGATAGGAACATCATCAGGTAGACTCTGCCATTATTTTAGAAACTTGAGGCCTGCTTCCAATGTTATTATTGTTAACGTTTTACCCTGCTTGGAAACCAGTAACTGGGTGAGATAGCCTCATCTATATAAAACATTGTGGTTTAGGAGAGTCTTAGTGAGAGTCAGGAGTTTTCACCTGCTATGAACTGTGGCTTGACATAGTTCTGCAAACGATGATTCTGGTGAATTTAACAAAAAAACTTTGTGTTTTTCCCATTCACCTTCATAGCTTTCTCTTTAGAAAAATGTAGAAAAAAGTTGTTATCCTTTTAAGGACATCTCCCGGAATGTTTTCAGATAAAAGAATGGTTTTGAGATATGATGTGCTCTGTCTATGATTGGTTCATAATCTTTGAAGATATCTGCAAAGTATGGGCTGGTTTTGTCAATCCCCCTGAATTTAATGTTATTTCACCTAGAACGGTCTTCTATGTTAGTAAGT